AGCTTTAAATATTAAAAGATTAGGAATCATTTTCACACCCGCCACCAGGGTTTCAGCCATTATGATAATGGTTGAAACCATGGTAGCGGGTGGCTAAGTGATTCCTAATCTTTTAATATATATATTAACTACCTAAAGAGCCAGGCAAACCTACGTAGGGTTACATGGCTCTTTAGGTTCGTAGTAAGATTTTGCTTAGTGTATTGTGAACTTTGTTAGTTATTTTACTTTACTCGTGTCGGAGGTTTTTTTTTTTTGCTTTGGACTCTGAGCTTGGATTCTGGACGATTGTTTGCGCCAGAATTACATGTTCTTTTATTTTTTTATTCCTTATTTTCCTTGGGCATTGGTTTGTTCATTTAGAAGCCAAAACAGCTAAGGTTTTCCCGGACGAGTATAACTATTAATATTTATTATATATATATATATATATATATATATATATATATATATATATATATCAGTTTGTGATTGGTTGGGATCATTCCAAGAAGGATATTAATCCAGGAGAGCTCAATGTAGAGTAGAGATAATAATAATAATAATAATAATAATAATAATAATAATAAAGAAGAAGAAGAAAACCTAAAAGATTCATTTCTAGTTATAATGTATTTCGTGAATATCTATATTCATCTCATCCGACCGAAATCTCTTAATAATTCTATATAATATATATATATATATATATATATATATATATATGTATATGTGGAAATATATAGAAAATAGGAAGGAACTGGTTAGGTAAATAATCCAAAGTTCCTTATTATTTTCGTTATAATTTTAAAAATAGTGCTCGATACAAAAGTAGAGCATAAATATAATTATTTATTTAAAAATATGATTCCAACTCGCGACATAAGAGGCCTCATGTTTCAAAAACAAGGCCGAAAACTTCAATATAATTATTTGAATTAAATTGAGTTAAAGTAAGCTCTGTTCCATCATCAAGCGAAATTTTTTTGGAATAACGTATTTCTGAAATTTACGTGTTTAAATAATTGAAATCAAAATTTCCATGGTAACAGCTAGGGCGAATTGTTTAAATTGGGTAGGCGTGTGTTGGGTGTTAATAATAAATATCAGTATAGAGTTACTTTCATAGATGTCAAGTCAGGGAAAGGTGGGTTTTGATTTTTATTCCCAAAAAAAATTCGCTTGATGATGGAACAGAGCTTACTTTAACTCAATTTAATTCAAATAATTATATTGAGTTTTTCGGCTTTTGTTTTGAAACATGAGACCTCTTATATCGCGAGTTGGAATCATATTTTTAAATAAATAATTATATATATATATATATATATATATATATATATAAATAAATAATCTATTGGTAATATATATGTTGGAGTTATTTTTTAATTTTTTAATATTTTATAATCCGATATTTTTGTTGAAAAAAAAAAAGTTATATTTAGTGGACACCCGTGTTTGAAATAAACGTCCCGTTTTTATTTTAAACGGTTTGTATTACGTCGATCGGCGGGCTCACTCGAGAAATCTTGACAAAGAAAATGAGCTCTCCAACAAGGTTCAAAGCCGCGTTTTCTCTCTGTGGACGAAATATATGTGCGTCTATTTAATTTGTATATGTATATGTGTATATAATTTACACCGATTTGTTTCGATGTGTGTACATACGTGTAGATAGATAGATAGATAGATAGATAGATAGATAGATAGATAGATAGATATTCAGGTGTATATATGATTTGTCTCCATGTATATACATATAGATAAGTGTGTATGTCTGTGGGTATGATAGCAATTTGAGCGACTGATGAAAGCGTGTAAGCACTATAAATTTGAAGCAATATTTGTATAGATTCACATGTGTGTCTGTGTGTATGCGCGTACATTCGACATCTTAATACAAATATATAGCAGACGTGAATGTATTTATCGATCAATATCGAAAAGGATTTTTTTTTTTATCTACAAATATAACGAGTAAACAGTATTAGATGGAATTTAAGTCACTGAACGAAGCAATAGTTTTGTTTTATTTTGGGGGTTTTTTTGGGTCTTTTTTTTGTTTTGTTTTTTATCTAAGTTTCTTATTCTTGCAGAATATATTCGATAGGTGAGAAAAAGAGATCAAATACACAGGTAGAATAGCTATACATATTTATGTGGAGAGAGGAACACAGAAACGCAAAGGGATTCTGAAAATAGATAGATAGATAAGATAGAAGCTTACGATAGATGATAGATAGATAGAAGCTTACGATAGAAGCTTACGATAGATAGATAGGTAGATAGATAGATAGAAGCTTACGATAGATAGATAGGTAGATAGATAGAAGCTTACGATAGATAGATAGAAGCTTACGATAGATAGATAGGTAGATAGATAGATAGAAGCTTACGATAGATAGATAGGTAGATAGATAGAAGCTTACGATAGATAGATAGAAGCTTACGATAGATAGATAGAAGCTTACGATAGATAGATAGATAGATAGATAGATAGATAGATAGATAGATAGATAGATAGAAGCTTACGATAGATAGATAGAAGCTTACGATAGATAGATAGATAGATAGATAGAAGCTTACGATAGATAGATAGATAGAAGCTTACGATAGATAGATAGATAGATAGATAGATAGATAGATAGATAGATTAACATTCAAAATATACCAGAAAAATAAGCATATGGGGGTGGTGCGTGTGTAGTTCATGTGTGGTCACTCTCACGCAGGAAAAATAAAGATTACTTTTCATTATATATTTATATATACGAAAATGTACTTTAATATATGTTTATTAATATTTATTTATATAAAAATATCATATATATATATATATATATATATATATATATATATATATATATATGTGTGTGTGTGTGTGTGTGTGTGTGTGTGTGTGTGTGTGTGTGTGTGTGTGTGTGGCGTCTATGTCCCTGTTAAGAAATTCTAAAATTAAATATTTATATCTGCAAGTTGCTTGAGATCATAGAATACACAGATAACACGAAAACAATAGCAACCAAATGAATATTTTATATAAATTCAGTTCGACTTAGTGCATTATATATAATATATATATAATTCAGACAGTGCATATATTGACTTAGTGTAGAATTTATCTTGATTTTCACTTAGTCTGATGTATATTGGTTAGCGGTCTTAAATCTTAAAATTCTAACGATGAAAAATATTTTTACTTGTTGCAAAATAAAATCCTTACATTTGCCTTGTAAAAGCCCATCATAGGACGAAACGAAGTTTTCAATTGGCCGTTATTCATACATAAGTAAAACTCAAATTTATAGAAATATACATTACATATATTTATAGAAAATATATATAGATTATATATATATATATATTTATATATATATATATATATATATATATATATATATATATATATATATATATATATATATATTTAAGAGTTTTTCGTGCAACCATTTTTTTTAATTTGATGAAATGAGCAGTCCACATCCGAATTTAAATGGAACATATCTTCAACATTCATAAAATATATATTTATACCCCCACATTATATATATATATATATATATATAATGTTGAAGATATTCTTTTCCATTTAAATTTATATATATATATATATATATATATGTGTTCATTAAACCATACAAACGTTCATATACATACTACAATCTACATACACCGATATTTATACAACGTTTTCGATACGTTATTGTCTGGTGCCTATTGTGTCAAGTGTTTTTGGCCACTTCTTTAACCATTTTCAAGGGGGGTTACAGTTGTCTTTTTAGTAGTTTTGTGTTGCCTATTGAAAAGGACATGGCTGAAATTCAAGCTGACGTGCTATTTAAAAAAATCTTTAGCACATATCTTACATAGTATATGATGCCCGTTTACCTAGATGTCTAGTAGGGTCATCTCAAGACATCATTGAGTGAGTGATTCAGTCGCACCTTGAACGGATATGACTCTTTAAATCGTACAATGTTTTAAAACCTCTGACACAAAGTCAGAGGTCACGAGCGACATACACTTTCTGGTAATTGGGTTTATTTTTTAGATATATACCTACGTACGAGGAAATAGTACAATGTACAATAGTACAAGCTTGTGCGGGCTGAAAACTTAACTATTTCATATTCTTTATTTTATCTATGCGTACATGCATGTATATATATATATATATAAGTAATCTAAATGAAATAATAATAAAAAAGAAAGAATATTAATATACAACCCAGTGTGTCTGAAGATTTTAATTTTTAATATTTTTATTGTTTAATATATATATATATATATATATATATATATATATGACAGATTTACATATATGTATATATGTGTGTGTGTATGTTCACTGAGATAGAAAACTTCTTATTGCTAATATATATATATATATATATATATATATATATATATATATATATATATATATGCACAAAAGGATTCATTCTTGTAGTTCACTGCCACAAAACAAGAAGAGTTTTTTTTCTCCTGATGATGGCCATCGAGGAACCTAACTGAAATAATAAAACCAAAAAATATTAATATACAACCCAGTGTGTCTGAAATTTTTTAAATTTTTCCAAATATATATATATATATATATATATATATATATATAATATATATATACACGTACAGGTAAGATGACAACGAATATATCACAATTCCAACGTCCGTAACATTTAATTTAAAAGAGGTCTTAATACAAATTATACCAATATTCTTTATTTTAGGATATTACGTCGAAAACACCATGTATTCGAAAAAATCCTATATATATATATATATATAACATGCATCATAAAAATAAATTTTCAAATAAAAATAGTTATTTTAATAAAAACTTTTCTTGAGTCGTAAATATGGGGTAAAAAATATTTTCTTGGATAACAACAAACTGGAAATAATATGTCTGAAAGAATTTTTAATGAACAAGGAAAATTAATATTAATTATCCAGAAATTAATTTTTGGCGATGGCAGTTTTCAAAAAAGCACACGTTTATAGACTCCGATAGTTTACTAGTGACATCAACCGTGTTCAGAACAAAAATTTTACTTTGTGCAGAGAGATCCAGTCATGTATTTTAAAGCATTAAAATTTACGGATAGATATACTGGTAGATATCACTTGGAAATCAGGATTTGCTAATGTACGAATTTAAATGCAAGTGCTGAAAAGTCTGAAATAATTGCCAGTAAAAAATCAATTAAGTTTTTTGTTTTTTTTCTTAACGGATTTTATGCGTGTGAACCTGTCATTTTAATATAATTCAATTACACAGATAAATTTCTGATTTACATATACAATATATATATATATATATATATATATATATATATATATATATATATATATATATATGCACACATGTGTGAGTGTACGAGAGTGGATCAATAAGTCCGTAGACTGTTATGGTTCAAAAATATGATCGGAAGATTTCAGTTTCATGCAAACTCCGACCATGGAATTAAGTGCCTTGCCAAAGGAGAAGATTATGCCTAGAAATAAAATTTATTGTATAGCATAAAACGGTACCTCACTTTTTTTGTTGTTACATTACAAGGCTAAGAATCTACAGATGTCATCCGATTAATGCATTTTATATATATATATATATATATATGTATGTGTGTGTGTGTGTAGACCACACACCCATACATATATATGTACATACAGACAGATATACACATATATGTATATACACCAAAGCATATGTATACACATATAGATATATATATACACACACACACATATATATATATATGTATGTACACACACACAAAGATATATATATACGCAAAGCCACACATTTACATATGTATATACACACTTACATATAGACATATGCAAATATGCAAACACATAATCACATACATATATATAACACATACATATATACACACACATACAGGTATATACATATACACACACATGCTTCTACAATACACACACACACATATATATATATATATATATATATATATATACGCATATATTCATATATAATATACACATACAAATACATGCATAAAATATACAAATACACACATATAAATACACATACATATGAAATACACAGAGACATATATATATATATACACACACACACACATACATGTATATATAAGATAAACACATACATATATAATAAACACATACATGCATATTTACACACGGATACATGAATATATAATATACACATGCATGCATATATAATATACACACACATACATATATAATATACACACACATACATATCTAATATACACACACATACATGATATACACACTCATACATATATACACAGACATACATGCATATATAATATACACATATGTACATATATAATATAGGCATACATATATACACACATGCATATACATAAATACATGCATATACATACATACATGCATATACATACACACACACATATATATATATATATATATATGCTTACATACATATATATCGTGTCTCTGCTAGAAATTGGAATGATGTATATTGTTGATATTCGAATTCGTCGGATGGTATTGTCGGTAATTTATCCCGAAGTAAGAAAATGTTCAAATATATTTATCCTGCAAAAGGAAAGACATTTTAAAATTGGATTTCATCTCGACTTGTCATTGTTTTTCTTTCCTTTCCGGCTTTTTTTTTTTTTTTATATTTATATATTGATTAAACTGTCTCGGCATTATTTCGGGCTTGCTCTAATTTATATGTAAATATAAATTTTTTTTTTTTAAATTTGAAATTCTATGTATGTATATATCGATAGATAGATAGATAGATAGATAGATAGATAGATAGATAGATAGATAGATAGATAGAAACAGGCTTAGATAAATAAGGATTTCTAACGGAATTTTCTCTTTGTCTAAGGAGACTTATTCGTAATTTGTAAAAGTCATCGAGTAAAATTAACCGATACAAAATGTTTCTTTTAATAATATTTCCATGTGTGTGTGTGTGCGCGCGCGTGTGTATCAGAGGACGAAAGGCGTCGATTTTTGTCTTCCTTCAAATACAGTAATTCCGCGTGTATAATACGCATGTTATTTTTTTCTAAAAACTAATAACCAAAATCTGAAGTGCGTATTATTTACAGCTACAAAAAACCTTTTAAAAATTGTCGTAAAATAAAATAAAAATTATCATAAAACTAAATTAGAATAGTATTCTATGTTTAAAACCATTTTTTAAATTAAGAGTAGGAAACGCTGGCCATAATGAAATTGGAGTGGCACAATTTATAGGGTTTGATTACCAAACAAGGGGTGCGTATTATGTATGAGTAGAAGCATTTTCCCACACTTTCAGCACAATTAGGGGTGCATATTATGGATGAAGGCGTATTATATATGGAGTATTACGGTATTTAGATAGCAAGAATTTATTTAAATGTTTCAAAGTCTCTCTGTTTATATATATATATATATATATATATAAAGTATTACGCAGTGTGCTGAAAACAGTGTTCGATGTATAATAATAGAGTTAGAATTTATGCTACTGATAAATAAGCAGTTTGTGCTTCATCATTTAATAAAATTCTGAGTTCAATCTATTGTCCCTTGTAGAAAACTCCACAGTTGTACTAAAAACAGTGAGAAACAAAATATATATTTACTATGTGTTTACGTGTCTCCTCTGCTAAAAGCTAAGCATTTCGTCCTGCCAAAAGAAATCTTCAGTTTATAATATAAACTTTATATACTGGCTTTATCGGTGAAGTTTTATAAACAGAAATAAGCAAACGCCGATTACAATTTTACATTAAAAAATACCATTAGTAACGAATTTAATAACCTTTTTTTAATTTTTAAAATTTTAAAATATTAAAATAAAGAACACGAAAAAAATTAATTTTATTAATTAAATACATAACATATATGTGTATATAAAAAAAAACATTTACATCAATTTATCAATATTTTTGTGTATATATATGTGTATATATATGTGTATAAATATATGCGTACGTGTGTGTGTGCGTATGTTTAGATGAGTGTGATTTCGATAATCTTTAAGGTATTTCTATTCTTGTATATATGTATATATTTCTTTAATTTGCTCCTATAGATAAATATTTATGTCAGATTTGAAATATAAGTACATTTAAAATATTTTACTTTGTGTATATTCTTAATTAAACACACACACACATATATATATATATATATATATATATGCATTATATATATATATGTGATAGAAAGGATTAAATACAAATAAAATTTATCACTTAGCTGATAGATGTTCTGAGGCATTAATTCAAACTATATTTTTGAACAAATAAAACTCCTTAATTAGAAATAATTCCATTAATTCTTTAAAAAATAAATTTATATCTACATCTCTCTCTCTCTATATATATATATATATATATATAAAGTTGCGTGTACATTGGTATCAACGCTGAATGGCCATTCTGTTTTGCTTCCTATGACTACACTGCTTACATTAACATACGCTACGTCCTTAAGTTTTTTCTTCCATAAACATAGTTTTTAAAATATGATATATATATATATATATATATATATATATATATATATATATATATATATATGTGTGTGTGTGTGTGTGTGTGTGTGTGTGTGTGTGTTTTGAAAATAAAAATATTCAAAAATTGAAATTTTCAGACACACTGGGTTGTATATTAATATTTTTTGTTCTATTATTTCAATTAGGTTCCTCGACTAGTTTCGACCATCATGGCCATCATCAGGAGAAAAACTATTTAGGAGAAAAAATTTCTGCTTGTTAGTAACAGTGAACAACAGGAGTAAATGACTGTTTATGAAAAAAATGAACTTCATATGTAGTTTTCTTGTGTTTTTTATCGTTAATTTTAGTCGGTCCTTGTGTTGGTCAAACGGCCTCTCCCTCTCTGCCTATATATATATATATATATATTATTCGAGCGTTTGCCGAAAATTCTCGGGGTTGCCCTAATTCAAAAAAATCTGCCCAAATATTTTACTTTTGGAGGCGGGGATTTAGAAAATTTTAAAGTTTTTTTGCTTGGCCCGAATACTTTTCCATTTTTCTATGATTTATATAACATATTGCAATATTTTTAATAGTTTTTTTTTTTCTTTTCGTTTTTTGTTTTCGTATGTAACTGTCAGTCATTTAAAATAATTTCTTTGTTTTCATCTAAAAGTAGATATGATTTATGAGTATATACAATGGGAGGAAATGCGAATTGTAATGTTTTTTTCTGGTTTTGTTTTTTTTTAAATGAACATATTCATGTCACTAGAGAATGGGACCCAATAAGACAATGTAAACATATCAAGGGTTTTATTTTTTAACCCAAAATTGAAATATATCCCAGATTCATATATGCATATAAGCCTTTGAAGTGTAATCACAATATGTTAAATTTTTTTTTTTGAATTATGAATTTATCTTTGTGGGTTCAATTCGAATAAGTAATGTATTTGACGACAATAATGTTGTCAAAACCGTACATTTATTCGTATTGACTATTTGCTAAATAAAAAGAAAATGTGGGCAATTAATATATATATATATATATATATATATATATATATATGAAGTGCCTTAAATCACTCATCCACATAGGACCGCATGATCAATCAACAAAGCCCGAATAGTGGTGATGAACACATATCTTTCCCGATTCTCGAATTACACAAGTTCGAGAATCAGTGAAAATAAATGTTCAAAAGCACTATTCGGGCTTTGTTTTCATATATATATATATATATATATATATATATATATATATATATATATATATGGAGTGAGTCTTAAACTAATTTAATATCGAAAACTAACAAATTCTCAAATACATATGACAGAAAAAAAAAAACTATCTCTAGCTTTGTTTTTTTTTTTTTAAATGAAAATTATTTGCCAGGGAAATTTTCCATTTTTCTTTCGTTGACGAGAGAAACAAATTTAAAATTTCAGATTTTATTTATTTCTGAAGAAAATGGACTTTAAAAGTCCAAAGTGGGTTAGAAAATCGACCGATCGAAATGTTGT